GTTATTAAGAATGATCCTGCATCTACTGTGGAAATGCAGTTTCCCAGAGTTGCAGCTGCTGCCATTAAAGAGCCATTGGCTGCTGTGCATAAACCTCAGCATCTCATGTGTAATGGTCCAGGAGGAGCACACCGAGAGCAAAGAGCACCAGCGTGTTCCTACTGGACTGAATGCGCAAGGAGACGAGGATAAAAATGATGCATCTTCATCCCAAAAGCTTAACCCAACCAGGCGTTTACACAGAAGCTCTGCACCTAGACCGTAATCCCATCCGACATTCCTCTCATATCTGACACAGTCTCTCTTTACGGCTGCTGTTGTACAGGCGGAAAATAGCAACTGGACTGGAACTGCCTCTTGTTCTTTTTTTTATTTATTCCTTTTTTTCCTCACAAAGCATTAGATCGGGTGAAATGCATTCAAGAATTTGGGTTTTGATGCTGTATACTTAGAGAACTGTCCCTGTCCCACATTATTTTTATAATTTATACGTCTGAAGATATTTTTGTGCAGTCTGGGAAATATTGATAGAACTGTAGAGGTAAGTTCAAGACAAAATTTTCAAAGTAGCCCTGATTTTTACACTTTTTGACACTTTTTTATGCGTGCCAGCTGTATATGGTTTCATCAGTTCAGTTTTGGTTGCCTGGATTTAGTAAAGCAATCAGTTTTTAACATTCTGGCACAAAAATCCAAAACAAATCTGAAGCCAAATATCTGGTGATTATGGTTAGATGTTATATAATTATAGTCGAAGACATGATTTTTAGCATTAACCTTGAATTCTGAGTTTGTGTCTGGGAGAATAGTAAAAAAAAATGTATATTTTATACTTGGAAGGCGTCTTCGACTACTTGTGTTTCTCATGTTTTGAGAAATTAGGATCAATAATTGATTTTTTTTTAAAGAAGTCAGTCACGTTTTAGAAAATGTGTCCACCTCATCTCCATTTCAATACAATGAAGTGTTATAGTGTTGTTTGTAGCAGAAAAAATATTAAGGTGATTCAGTTTAAACATCATAAATTATTCAAAACTATAAAATAATAAAAGGCCTATCAATCCTGACAGGAATGAATATCTCCTGCTATCGTTCAGGCCAGATGTTTAGACTAAAATCATGTCATGTTGAGAGAAGCTATAGTCATTTTGGTTAAACTTAGAGATTATATGTGCAGACTCGTGAGATGTTTTGTATGTTCTTGGAGTATTTGTTCTGAATGACTCAACTACGACCGCACTAAATTTCATCTCAGAATTTTAACTTTTTTGAGCTATAAATTTTTGTTTAATGTGGCAGCCATCTTGGATTGGGTTGACTGTAGAGAGACAGCAGGTGATTAGACTGAGAGTTTCATTAAAACTTGTCATTTTTCATGAGATATTTTGCTAATAAACAGGGTTAAGTTAAAGTTGGGGGAGGTTTTATGCAGAGTTGACTTTTTTGAGCTTTGTATCATGTTAAAATATAATTCTTTCATCAAAAACATTGATGAAAAAATTAGTGTTGCTTTGATGCATGTTTGAGAAATCCATGAATCTCCTATAGTAATGGTTTGGAGCTGCCTAAACACTTGCTGGTACAAAAAAAAAGCGTCCATTTACCCAAAGCTCCTCCCTGGAGCTCAGTCCCCAGCTGAGCCCCTGCCCCACAGAGCCCACCCCCTCGCCCACACAGCTCCACCAGACTAGCAAAACATATCTTTAAAATGGTGGATGTTCTTGATTTCATAGCAAAACATAGCTTCATAATCTATATTTATAGTTTCGTTGCAAAAGGTAGCTTAACGTTGACATCTTATAAGAGCCTCTGTAGTCGCTCAGGTTCTTCAGAAAACGGACTTTCCGGGTCTGACGTGGGATCATTCAAGTATGGTTCAACTGTATCCCCAGATGTCGTGTTCCAAAACTGATATTATACAATGTTGCTTTATTTTTACAACAAACTACAATGCTCCTACGAAACTTTGTAAATGGCGTGAAGCACTGTTGTGAATGCGTGCTGAAGTGGGAGCGTTGGAAATGGTAGGAGGTTCTTAAAGCGGCTACTTTCAAGGCATTTAGATTGGACTATGTTGAAAAGTCTATTTTTTTTTTGTCTATATACAGTATTTTTACAACGGAAGGTAACATAGTTACTTGATTGTGGTTTAGAATTGACTTTGTACCTGGACAGTCAATGCATTCTCATGCCCCCTGCGTCAACATATTGACGCTTGGTCAGGTAGCCGTCTGCGTCAGCTTTCAGACGCACCGGGTAGCCCCCCGGGCATCCGTTCTTTACGAGATGAGTCGGAGGAGGATGAGTGCGTTGTCATATTTTTTTTACAAGAGTAGGAAATGTGCGAAACTAACCATCCCAGACCCTAAATTTAACTTCTATTAGCCCTATACAGCTTATCCCTGACCCCAGACCCTAAAATTAACCATTAACCCTGATCCCTCATATTAACCATTTTTTTAAATGTAGAGAATGCACGAGAACTAACCATCCCAGAGCCTAAATTTAACCTATATTAGATATATACAGCCTTTCCTATGGGGGCAGCTGTGGTAGAGTGGTTAGGGGAGTCGTCCTGGAACTGGAAGGTCACTGGTTCGATCCCCCGTTCAGCCGTCTCAGTCGTTGTGTCCTTGGGCAAGACACTTTACCCACCTTGCCTACTGATGGTGGTCAGAGGGTCCGGTGGCACCGGTGCATGGCAGCCCCACCTCTGTCAGTGTGCCCCAGGGCAGCTGTGGCTACAGTGTAGTTTGCCATCATCAGTGTGTGAWTGTGTGTGTGAATGGGTGAATGTCTGTTAGTGTAAAGCGCTTTGGGGTCCGGAGGGTCTTGAAAAGTGCTCTATAAGTTCAGTACTATTTACCATTTCAGTACCATATCCCTGACCCCAGTATCTCAAATTAACCATTAATCCTGATCCCTCATGTTAACCTCAGATCCCCCACCCAAAGACCCCTAAGTAACGCAACCCGGAAAAGCTGGCGCATCAAAATTGGAAGCATATGGTCCCTGCCCAAGCAAGAGAATGTGCTTGGACAATACATAATGTCAAGGTTTTAAGGAAGCGTGAGATAATTTGCTGATGACACATACTACACTCGCACACAAGCTTAGATGAAAACATTATCGCTCTACCTCTGCCTTCAGCAGTTACTTGTCTACGTCCTCACACATGATTTCCTGTGATGTAGAACTGCGTGTCCATCCCGTTGTCCTGAAGCTTCTGACATTTCCCTCTCAGACTGGATGAAGGTCTGCTCTGTTTCCACAGATTGACAGCCCTTACTTTTTCCACTTAAAATATTTTAAATGTCACAGTAAAAAAAAAGAAAAAATGAAGATGGCTGAATCTATGTTTCTGCTTTGGATTCAGGTCCAGCCTCATTACTCAGTGGGAATAGAGAGCGGTTGTTATTGTCAGTAAGTGGACTCCAGATTCTTTCATTGACTGCTGATTTAAGCTGTAGTGTCTCACTGTTTGGGTGAGCCGTTTCCCAGATAACAGGGAGGCATCGTTTGACCATGTTTTTTTTATTTTTCCTTATCTGTGGCTCACGGCGTTGGGATGTTTAATTACAGGTGGCGGGGGTTGTTTTATTGTTGATCCGCCTCATCTGGAAATAAAAGGTCACAGGTTTAGTCACAGCGAAACAAACACCACCCTGGCTTCAGACTTAGCCGAAAATCATTTCACAATGTAATTACATGGACACATGGTTGCCTGGATACTTGACAGGTATGAAGGTGGACGTAATGCAGACGCTGCATGAACTCGCACAAAACGCACGAACAGGAGCGTTCAGCTTTTCACTGTCTCCTCGGTTTTTGATGAGAGGTCACAGCAGAGGGTTTGGGCCCGCAGCAAAAAGGAGAAGTTGGACAATAATGTTTTAGCCCCTGTGTGTGATATCAATGTATTTTATATAGATTTTAATAAAAATTTCAGAAACTGATTAACATTTGGAGTTAACCCAATTCAAGATGCTCCCCATAGAAAACACAGAGAGTTCGAATTACGTCAGTTTTACAGATATTGTGCTGTGTTTTTGTTACCTCTCTTTCTGATTGGCTACACGTCATCTAGGCTGCAAGCTCGTTTGTCCTGGAAGAACACCACACACTCTGGGACAATCCAACATGCTGAATATTCCAGATTTGCAGTTAGAGTTAGCAAAATATATCATGAACCTCTGGACCAGGGCTATTCAGCTAAACTGCTCCGGGGGCCACAGCTACTGCAGGCCAGTTGCTGAGGGGCCGAACATCCAGCAATTAAAGTTATTATGTAAATAAATATTGTAGTGGTCACCTCGAGGTGGAATAAACCGTTCCACCTGTCTTTGAGCCTGATCTCAGAAGACCTCCTTGAAAGACACAGAACTCTGTTCGAGTTAAAGTCATATGTTTTCTTAAACAGTAAAGAGACATTTTATTTTATTTTATTTTATTTAATCAAGATAATAAACAAAATAATAATGTTCTTCATATTTTTGATTTATATTTTCTCTTAACTAAAATTTATCATTTTATAAATTAAGGTTACATACTTAAATGAATGACAAGCTATTTTCTTGCATTTTAATAAAGAAA